AGTTTCTGGAGGTCCCCGGTGTTGAGGCGGGGGCGGGGCAGGTCCCCAAACATCTCAGTGCCGTCGGAGCCGCGCAGGGCCAGCGCCCGCATGCTGGCCGCGATCTTCTCCAGGTCGGGGGATGAGTGCTGGGGGGCGGGGAGGGGGAGGGGTTAGCGCCGGGGGCACCAGCCGGGGACCCTAACACTCCCTTCACCCCCCTCCCCGCGTCTACCCCTGGGGCCGGATTCTCCCCCCCAACCGCCACGACCTCTGTTCTCCGAGACACCCTCCCCGCTAAGACACCAATCGGGGCCAGTGCCCACCCTTCCCCGCGCCGGGCCCCCCACCTTGGCGTTCTCCTCGTCGGACGAGCGCTGCTCGAGCCCCGGCTGCCGGAAGGCCCAGACGGGCACGGAGACGGGCAGTGACTTGGCGTACTGGTGGTTGGGGGGGGCGGGCGGGGGCTGGGCGGGCACCTCCTCGCTCAGGCTGCCGTCTGGGGAGGGAAGAAAGTTAAGAGGGGGACCCCAGACAGCACAACTGCCCCCCCCTTGCTGGCTGGCTGGCTCCCCCCCCAGCCATCAGGTCAGGCTCCTAGTGCAATGGGGTGAGATGGGGGTGGGGTCTTTGTCACCTTGTGATGCTGCACGTGGCCTGTGCGTGCCTCAGTTTCCCAGGGTGCTGCACCGATGCTAGGTGATGGGAATTGGGGGTGGGACTTTCGCTGAGGCCCTAGGGGCAGGTGAGGCCGAGACCCAGGAAGGGGGTGTGACCAGGTGACTCTGGGCCCCGGAAGCGAGACAAAGACCAGGAGGAGCCAGGGGCGGGTGCCAGGGAGTCTGGGGGTCGTCAGGATTCCCAAAAGCTGGCCTTGGCGGAAAGTCACTGATTTCTGTGCTAACAAGCTCTGCCCTACGCTGTGATCCTGTCGGCGAATAAACCGTCTGTGTTCCCGGCCGGCTGAGAGTCACGGCTGACTGCGGAGTTGGGGGGCAGGGCCCTCTGGCTGCCCCAGGACCCCCCCCCCCCCCCCGGCAGACTCGCTGCGGGAGGCGCACGGGGGGACGGGGATGCTGAATGCTCCGGGCTCAGCCCCAGGA